AAACAAAATAAATAAACAAAAACAAATAAAATAAATAAAAACAAACAAAATAAATAAAAATAAATAAAATAAGTAAAAAGCTCACCCATTGCAGTAGTTGTTTAGCATTAGCTGCTCCTTTATACACAAAAAAAAAACAAAAAAACAAAAAAAAACAGAAAAAAACAGAAACAAAACCAAACAAAAAAAAACAAAAACAAATAAAAACAAAATAAATAAAATAAATAAATAAAATAAATAAAAACAAAATAAATAAATAAATAAAAAGCTCACCCATTGCAGTAGTTGTTTAGCATTAGCAGCTCCTTTATATCCTTGTTCTATAAGAAAGAATAAACTAAAAAAACGGAGACAGCCGACGCTATCTCCTAATATAAATTTATTTATTTTATTTATCATTATATTGTTGGGGTGTATACGCAGGTGCGCTGTGTCTGTGTCTTTGTGTATATTTATTATACTATTTAATATATTATAAATTATATTTATTTCTTTTTCTTTTTCTTTTTTTGTTTTTTTTTCATTTATAAAATATCTATTTATTAATGTGTCTATACATTTCTCCATTACTATAAATAAAGAAGCACCCTCTGCTTCTTCCTCTGCTGCTGCTGCTGCTGCTGCTGCTGCTGCTGCTGCTTCCTGCTGCTGCTGCTGCTGATGCTGCTGCTGCTGAGGGTTGTACTCGTGTTGCTGCTTGTTCTGCTGCTGCTGCTGCTGCTGTTGCTGCTGCTCTAACTGCTGTTTCTGCTGCTGCTGCTCCACCGCCACCACCTCCTGCTGCTGCTGCTGCTGCTGCTGCTGCTGCTGCTGCTGCTGCTGGGGGTTGACGAGTACAGTATGTAGAATTTGCACATTAATATTATTTTTATTTTTTTTAATTTTATTTATAAATGAAAGAATATCTGCTGCTTTATTGAGAGCAACAACTGGGTATTGTTTCACTGCTACTTCTGTCTCCTCTTCTGTCTCTTCTTTTTCTTTTTCTTTTTCTTTTTCTTTTTCTTTTTTATTTTGTTTTTTTTTTTGTTTTATAAACCCCCTAAACATAAGCACACTAGGGTCAACTCTGCAGCACCCCACGGGTTCAGTCTCATAGTAAATATTCTTACTTAGCCACTTTATCTTCCTGCTGCTGCTGCTGCTGCTGCTGCTGCTGTTGCTGTTGCTGTTGTTGCTGTTGCTGCTGGTGATGGTGGTGGTGGTGGTGATGGTGGTGGGGTTTCTGCTGCTGCTGCTGCTGCTGTTGCTGCTGCTAGTTCTGTCTATTTCGGCTTCAAGGCCGTTTTGTCTCGTTCCTGCTGCTGCTGCATCTGCTGCTGCTGCTGCTGCTGCTGCTGCTGCTGCTGCTGCTGGTGCTGCACCAGTAGAGAGAAAGCGTTGAAGAGCAGCAGCAGCAACAGGTGTAGCTACACCGCCACACTGCTGCTGCTGCAGCTGTTGCTCCTGTTGCTGCAGCAGAAACTGCTGCTGCTGCTGCAGCTGCTGCTGCAGCAGCTGCTGCTGCAGCTGCTGCTGCTGCTGCTGCTGCTGCTGCTGCTGCTGCTGCTGGTGGCTGATCGCTTGCTGCTCCCCCCTCCATACTTCTGTCCTTCCTAGGGAATCCACAATACCACGATAACGAACAGGTACTCTACCTGCTGCTGCTGCTGCTGCTGCTGCTGCTGCTGCTGCTGCTGCTGCTGGTGCTGGTGCTGCTGATGGTTGGGGTTGGGGATGGGGTTGTGCTGCTGCTGCTGCTGCTGCTGCTGCTGCATTGTTTAGAATTCGTTCTGTGTTTATGTGGTTGCTGCTGATGTTATGTTGCTGCAGTAGTTTTTGCTGCTGCAGTTGCTGCTGCAGTTGCTGCTGCAGTTGCTGCTGCAGCAGGAACTGCTGCTGCTGATGTTGCTGCTGCTGCTGCTGCAGCAGCATCTGCTGCTGCTGCTGCTGCGGCTGGTGTTTGTCTGTGTTGTTGTGGATAGAAGGAGAAAGAGGAGACAAAGAAAAAGAGTTTATTCTGCTGCTGAGTTGTTTAATATCATCGCCAGCAGCATTGCTGCTGCTGCTGCTGCTGCAGTGAACATCTGCTGCTGCTGCTGCTGCTGCTGCTGCTGCTGCTGCTGCTGTTTGTCTTTGTGTTGCTGGTGAGCCAGGGGCTGAGCTCCATTGCTGAGCTGAAGCAGCAGAATGAGTGGAGGCGAATGTGCTGCAGTGTATAGGCACCTCTTGCATGCACAGAGTTTGCTGCTGCTGCTGCAGCAGCTGCTGCTGCAGCAGCAGTTGCTGCTGCTGCTGCTGCTGCTGCTGCTGCTGTTGCTGCTGCTGCTGCTGCTGATGGTGAGGGTGAGGGGGAGGATGAGTTGCTGCTGCAGTTACACCCCAATTAAAATTGCTGCTCAGCAAACGATCTGCTGCTGCTGCTGCTGCTGCTGCTGCTGCTGCTGCTGCTGCTGCTGTGGAAAGCGGCTTCATACATAAAGAAGAATCAAAACCAGATAAACCTAAAACATAAATAAATAAATAAATATAAATAAATATAAATAAATAAATATAAATAAAAATAACTATAAACAAATATAAATAAATAAATAAATATAAATATAAATAAACACAAATAAATATAAATATAAGTGTGTAAATATAGATAAATACATATAAATAAATAAATACAAATAAATAAATATAAATAAATATAAATAAATATAAACAAATAAATATAAATAAATAAATAAATAAAAATAAATAAAAATAAATATAAAATGGGTTTGTTGTGTGTTTATGTTATACACCCCTTACCTGCGTTATACTGCTCCTGCTGCTGCAGTTGCTGCTGCTGCTGCAGCTGTTGCTGCTGCAGCTGCTGGTGCTGCTGCAGCTGCTGTTGCAGCTGTTGTTGCTGTTGGTGCTGCTGCAGCTGCTGCTGCAGCTGCTGGTGGAGCTGGTGTTGTTGCTGCTGCTGCTGCAGTTGCTGCTGCTGCTGCAGTTGTTGCTGCTGCTGTAGCTGGTATTGCTGCAGCTGCTGGTGCGGTGGCATTTGCTGCTGCTGCTGCTGCTGCTGCTGCTGCTGCAGTGGGTGAGGATGGATTTGGTGCTGCTGCAGTTGCTGCTGCAGCTGTTGCAGTTGCTGCAGTTGTTGCAGCTGTTGTTGCTGCTGCTGTTGCTGCTGCTGATGCTGCTGCTGCTGCTTCAGCATAAACTGCTGCTGCTGCTGCGGAGAGAAGGTGATGTACTTTATTGTTTCTATTATAATTATAATTACTATTTATATTAT